TATATATACTATATATATATATATATACCAACCTGATAATAACTCCACAAATCAGAGCATTTAATAAATTGACGTATTTTGGAATATTAAACAAAAATTTAACATATATATTTAATACAGATACTTCATACACAGTATAATTAATAATTTCCTCGACTACTTCGGTTACAGAAATAAATATAATCCATCCGAATATTATTCGAATTATCCAATTACGCAGCTGTTGATATTCTTTTAATATTCCGAGTGCTTCCAATGTGTCGTCCACTATGGACAGTTCATGTAAGCACATTTTCAATTCCTTTAAAACATTATATTGATCGATTACGCGACACAAAAATAAATTATAATCTTAAATAAATGTTATAATCTTATATTTAAAGCGTAATAAATATATCTTTAATTATATTGCATAATTATATTGACGCTAAATATTAAATGTTGTTTTCAACGTTATTTTCAAAGTGTAATTTAATTATAATTATCAACAAACTATATAAAAGTTGTGTTCATAACATACTGTTTTATTGAACACATTTTTATAGTTTATTAATTTTATTTGTTATTATTTTTATTGTTATAAACTAAAATTTAAAGACAATGACAAAAATCTACATTTTTTTAAATAAGTACTTTAAGTATTCAAAATAATTTATGCAAAGTTTCCTTGCAATTCACTAATTAGTTTTACGAAGAGATTTAGAATAAATAAATATTTTATTTATTTACTTGGCCACTAGTTCACGTATCGCAATGTAACTTTAACCAATAATAAGTAAAATTACAATGTAACTTTATATCTTGAATACTCTACGGGAAGAACTTATATTAAAAAACTTATATTAAAAAACTGAGATATTAAAAGTTGAGGTATTAAAAATTGAGATATTAAAAAATTGAGATATTAAAAAACTAAGATTTTTGTCATTTTTTTTATAATACATTTCTATTAAAGCACAGATTAAAAAAAATTATTACTTATAAAAAATAACATATATATATATATATATATATGTATATGTACATATATTATACATATACATGATCCAGATATTACTTTTAAATGTGATTTTGAATAATCTAATTTTTTAATAATTTTGTTATTATTTTATGCATCTACGAAACATCCTTAAGAAATTTTACAAAATTAACAAACTTTAGGAACATGGGATATATTTTAACACTCTTACCTTCGAATGAAAAAAACTAATAGGAATCGCTATAAGCACGATAATATGTATTATTATTTGATGAAGAGTATAATCTGCTAAGGTTATAGAATGGCAGCGGTAAATGAAATACACATAAAAGTTCCATATGGCGAAAACATACAGATAAGAAAGATACCGCTTAGATTGTGCTAAGAAATATTCAAACGAGCCCAAACTGCAGAACGATCCAATTATCAACAATGGTGCTAGTGCTATCTGTATCGTCTTCATAGTTTCCTTGTCGTCAACTAGAAATTTGAATTAAATCTTACCACAAGACACAGACACGTTTTAATACGTTTTGTAAAAATTTCAAAAACAGTTTTACTTTATTTTTGCAGATCCTAGGAATTACTTCGTAATAGTTGCACTGCGCAAGATACAGTTGACAAATAAGGTATGTACATGCTGTTTAACCAGTAAGTTGAGCGGTAGAATAAACGCTCAGATAATCTAGATTAGATTGTTCTTTTTTTTCGTTGACCTTTATTTATATATATATTATATAGTATATATTTATATGTATATTATTTCAAGACATGAACAGTTGTAAACGTGACAATTTTTGCAATATTATGTCTTTTTATATAAATATTTAACTGATGCAATCATACGCAATTGTATGAGCACTGTGAGTTGTATGAGCAGTTATGTGTTAAAAACTCTAAACATTATATTTATAGTTTTCTTCAACATCGTCAAATTATTTAGCTATTATTTATCTTGTTAGTATTTTATGAATTTCTAAATAATGCTTAATTGTTATGGATAAAGAGATAATCTTAATGTAATGTTAAATATAAAAAGAGCAAATTATTTTATATAATATTATTAAAGATTTAAGGTCTGATAAATATCTTTATTTTCATGATAATAATAAACGTTACAATTGTTACGTAAAATTGGAAAAAACGAATCGATTAATTGAGTATGAAAACACTCACTTATTGAAACGCAGGACTATGAAATAAGTTAGATAATAGAAATTACTATACTTGATGTAAGTATATAAGCAATAGCAAAATAGCAATTTTGATAAAGAAAATGTTAACAAAATAATTTTCTGAATTCTTATATAATATAAATACGGATGTATAAATATATAATGTAATAGTTTATATATTGATGATATTATATTAGAAAATTATATAATAATGAAAAAAAGAGTTAAATTGCAATTGTAATAAAAAAAATTCTTAAACTACAATATTAATAAATGTATTACCACGAGGCCACTGATGAGGTGAGATGGGACATTAATAAAGATCGCATTGATTAAGAATAAATAATATGAAATAATTAAAAATAATACAAGTACAAGATTTATTTATACACCAATAAAGTAAATTTTATAGCTATATAATACTCTATGTACAGATAAATATATTATAATATTAAATTATAAATTATTTTGTCTCTAAAAATTCTTTGAAATAATGAATGTGTCTGTAGAATTCTATTGTTCGTGTTTTTATCTTTTCGTTCACAACTCTAGAGATGTTAAGAGGAAAATCTTTAACAAAAGAGCTTATCTGAAACAAATTATATGTTGACGATCTCATTAACACAATTCTATTTATTCTTATAAAATATTATTTTTCATAGCACGTGAGAAATAATTATTGGATCTATCCAAAAAATAATTGCAAAAGAAAAATCGAATTAAAAAATTATGGAATAAAATTGTAACAATCAAAAAGAATTTGTTGATAAAGCATAGAATTTATTGATAAAGAAAAGACAAAATAATAAAAGAATTTTAGAAAAAAATTGAGAAAACGTTTCTTTTTAAAAGGGGAGAAGTAGAAGATGAACTTTAGAAGGGGAGAAGTAAAATATTTATTGTATAAAAGATAAAAAGATAAAAAGAAATTATTGAAAAAGAATTAAAAAGAATCCTAATAATGAAAAGAAAAAACAACGAAGAAGAAACATTATATAATAGAAAATATATACTATACTTATTTATATTTATAAAATTTACTTTGAAAAGATGATCCTCATAGTGTGAATAATTAATCATATCTGCAAAAACTACCCTTCTATCGATTTCTCTGTAAAAATGAATTCTGGAGGTAATTAATGACATATTTATATACTTTTTACACATAAATTTTTATGATCTTAATCAATATATGTTTATAAAAAGAATATTGCGTTACCTGGGTACTATTTTTTCAAAATTTTGTAGTATATACTTAAAGACTAAATCATTGTCTATATGTTTTGCAATAATAGAATGAAAAATTACAATACGCTGCTTTACATCAGTAAAATATCTTGATGTCAAAAGATTGATATAGTTGATGATGATAGTATCAGATTTAGAGCACGTTAAAAATTCTAAAAGTTGATTGTTTAATGGTTTCTTTTCCTCATTCAACACTTTGTTCCAAGTTATATTATTTGCTTTCATTATTCCTTTACAATAAGTCCATTCTTTCCATCCCGGAAAAATTCTAAAACATTTTGTAAAATATGAATAGAAATTTGTTACGACAAATAAAAAAGTTTCTGTTATTTATATTAATATATTTTATATTAATTTATTTTATATTTTGAGAACTTGTTCTGTATTAAAAATTGCTCTACATAATTAGAAGAAGCATAATTATAAGAAAATTACTGATGTAATTTTGGCTTTTCGTATAACCGTATTAAATCAGAAGTGGCAACAGCCATACATTCTTGAGAATTCAGAACACATGCCCATTTTACGGCTTCGTGCCTTAAACATTTAGTAAAATCACTTTCATTCTCCAAGTCGACGTAGCCTATGTTAAAGAGAAGAAATATCAAGATTTTCTGAAAATGTTCCTAAAATAAAAAAATAAGTTTAATTTTATATATTTTGTACTGCCTATTAATTGTTACTTATAGAAAGAGGCGTAAAATATGATCATAAGATTTAAAAGGACTCTATATATTTTTATTCTTTCTCTTTCAATAACTATAATATATATATATATTATAAGATATAATATATTTTTTTAATTCTTTGGCCTATTTCTTAAAACGTAAAATATGAATTTTTAAACATTTTAAACATATAAAAATATTTTTAAAAAATTAAACATTTTTTAATTAATTTCATACATTTTGTAAGATAAAATAATTTTTATATGAAATTGTTTTTATTTTTACGAGTATTTAGTTTAGTTTAAAATATTTGTAGAAAATAAAGTTAATTTAATTGTGAAAAATTGTCTCTGAATTTAAAATCAGACAACACATTCTGTATCAGTACTTCTGTGACTCGGACAATACGCATAATTAAAATCAGAGCTTAACAAGTCTTATATAATAATATAAAATCTAAAAAAACATCTATATGACATCTTTGAGATGTCTTATGATCCGATTTTGGACAGGGTACTCTATCTAGGAACAGATTATTAAATTAATATTTATAATAATAAATATATTACATATAGTTGTTGTTTTAAAATAATTTTGTAGAATTTAAAATAATCGAAATATCACCACGACTGGAAATATAATATCTTCTCGTTTTTAAATATTGTAGATTTAATCCAAATAATGTAACTATCATAAGAAAATATGACTTATTCACTTATTTTATTTTTATAAAACTTTAATTTTTTAGAATATTATATTATTCATAACTTTGACTGATCCTTAGGCGTTCTCTACTATATTATGCGGTTACATTAACTCGATCGGTTTCTATTTATTATTTTATTTTTTAAATATAATTGTAATATTTTATGAATATCAAGTGGATAATTAAAATTATTGCAAATATTTATTGTTATCTACCTTGACTCTGGTACTGTTTGAAAATGGAAAAAAGCCCGACATATTTTCTAGAATTTTAAACATAGGATACCACGCTACATAATTTGTCTCATTAGACAGATAGGAAGTAAGTTGTTCGAAAAAACTGTACTCCAGTTTGTTCCTTAATAGAAAGAAATACGCGTCATCAATGATTTGAGCACGATTGAGTACATGTATGTTCATATATTCCGTTGAGTTTAAATATCTTGCAAGTTTTTCCCAATTATCATTGTCGTAATTAATACGATAATATCCTGTCGTATAATAAAACAAATTTCGTTATTAAATATTTCGAATAAAATTCATGAAATATGGCAGATATAGAGGTATTTTATATGTTAATATTCACCAGCTTGTTGTACATTAATAATAATCCAATCATCTTCTTTAATAGTAGTCAATTCTAAATATGACATGTTCGGATTCAACCATTCTTCCCTTGTATAATTGGAAGAATTGTTCGTAACATAAGTCACATGTATCCACATGTTTATCGGATATGAATTATTATAATAGTCTTTTTGTAATGTTATTATAACCTTATTTCGAGAAACCTTATCTCGTGTCATCTGTAGTATAGGATAACGTTCTTGCATCGTCCAATGATACAACCTAACTGCCAAGTTTAGGTCATCATTTGGTTCATTTGCGGCTTTTGTAAGAACATTGAAGAAACTATCGATAGTGCTATTCCAAGTATTGTCGGATCTAAGCTGACTAAATTTGTACAGTTTAACTTTACAAATTATAACAAATTGCATTCCTTGTAAAAATAAAAATCGAAGCATAAGTCGAATGTGCTAGCAGAGTACAAATGCGTAAATAAAATTTTTAAAAGGCAAAAATTAAAGCAACAAAGTATAAAAAGGAGCGTAAATGCCTCTTTTAAATTTCGTTATTTCAATTTTCTTCTCCTAGAAATTTCACTTACGCTTCTGGTACTTTTTCCTTACATTCGATTTAAACTTCAATTTTTATTTTCGCCAGAGATTGAAAAATATAATATTGCTATTCAAGTACAATTTTTGCATATTACATATTATACATATATAACTTCATACGACTTCCAACTATTAACAATACTGATTAATACACTTGATTATGTACACAATATGAAATTATTATATTACGTTTATCTTATTACTTACTATATGGATAAATATGTATTGAGACTTGCTTGAAATACAGATGAGGGTATCGTTTGTAATAATGTGCGTATAAAATTAGGTGCTATAAGAATTAATATTATATAATTTGAAACAGTATTTAATATAATTTAATTACAGTTTTTACAAATTTGAAAAATGTCGTTTATTTGCAGAAAAAAATATTTTAAAATTTAATAATGTACAGTATTTTATTTTACTATAAAAATGTGTATTATGACAAAACTAATATAAAAAATAAATTGTAGACAAACTTACTATACAGAGTGAATCAGAATTGTTGAACCAACTTTTTACCCTATGAGAAAATTATCGATTTTATACTTAATTGAATTATAACGTGTGCAATCAATTCTTTTTTCGTAGGATAGAAAGCTGGTTGACTCTGATTCACCCTGTATATGATTAACCTTCCGTATAATTTTTTTATATTTACGTTTGGAAATTATCGATGAATAATTTTTTAACACTCAAATGTTTCTTGTATTTTGAGTCCCATATTTAGAATAAGGTTCATAAACATTCCGTTATTAATTTAGAAGTGATGGCTTTATTTACCCGATTGAAAATAATTTTATTAATTTTTAATAAATACTTTAATGTCTTATAAATTTTATTAAATTTATATAAATTTGTAAGATATTAAGAAACATTAAAGAAACAATATAAATTATACTAAGATATTAAAAAACAATAAAGTATTAAAATAATATATTAGATTTATCAAATTCAATGCCGAAGTCAGCTTAGCAACAAAACTATATTTACATTTGCTTTTACCTTTAAACTATATTTACACTTGCTCTTACCTTTAACATAATGGGTTAAAGGGAAAAATGTCGTATTATTAGAAGACGTATCAATTTTTGGTACAAGAGGCATGTCGTAATAATCATTCAAACGAAGAGACTCATGTTGAAACTGTACTGTGAGTAAATCCATCAATTGAGGGTTTATATACTACAATAATAAAAATTTGAATACATTTAAGTAGCTATTTAATTGGGTCATATAACATTATACACTGTTTATTATCAAAAAATATAATTTTTTTACTGTTTTTTATTACAATAAAAAAATATAATATTATATCTTAAAACGAATAACAATTTAATGAAAATTAATTGAATTATTTGATAATGATTCATACTCTCTCTCTCTCTCTCTCTCTCTCTCTCTCTCTCTCTCTCTCTCTCTCTCTCTCT